AGAAATACTAGGTGGACCAAATGGGAATACAAAAGTAGAAAAGTTTGATTTCTGAGAGGGAAGTTTGACTACCTTAGATACAGATATAATTACGAGCATACTCAAAGTACAGTGGAATTTGTTATTTTAAAGCAGAATAAACAACACAACTTAAACTCATGATAACCTAATATAATGAGAAAAATATATAGAATTCAGAATATTCAGTTACCAGGGACATGGCTTTCAGTCACTTGGGACAAAGTGGGGCTCTTTGTGAAGGGGCCTCAGTCATACTGTCTGCACAGTAAAGGTGACCTTAGTTGCAAAGAGAAATGTCCATTTCTCAGGAGCCAATAGTTTACTAATAACTATCTCTGGGCTGTTCTATATTTTATTGTGGGTTAATTTTTAATTAAACTGGGGTTAAGAGGAAACCAGGAAGAGCACATTTTGTTTTCTGCATTTAAAAAAGACCATGTACCAAATTTTAATCTTCTGAATCACTAACACATATCTGCGTTGTGCCTTGATGCCTTTAATTGTATTATGGTTAGTACTCAAACAAGCACTAATATTAGCCTTCTAGTACTCAAAAAAACAAAACATTTCCCAGACAACACTCGAGAGATCTTTGATGTATATTATAAACATCCATGCCTGTGAGACCGTACAAAAATGGTGAGGCCAAATCTCTCTATTCATGCACAGGAGGGATTGGCTCAACAGTCACTGTTCTGACAGAGGAAGGGACAAAGCAATCCTCTGAGACTTCCGCCAACTGGCACAGGTTACACTGAGTGAACAATACGTACTGACATTTGTGTCTTCCACAATTCATGATAAATAAGCAAACTGGTTATTTGTAATCAGCCAAACTTGCTTCTTTGAAAAGGCTGCTACTGGACGCTGCAGAGCTCATGTTCCTTCCCAGTATCAGAAAGGAAAAAAATCAAGTTACATTTATAGCTAATTTTATCATGTCAAGCTCTTTTCTAGCAATGACATTTCTTACCACAATGGCAAAAGTTAAACTAGTACTTCTTCTCAAAACTCCTATTAAACCCAAAACAGAACAAAAAACTCCTATTAAACCATCCTACTTTAAGGTAGGGGCAATTTTATAGTTGAATTCAGTTTTCATCGACTACACAGCGAATGTAAATAACTTCCTCTGCATTAAAATTAAAATTAATATTAGAGCTAGTCTGTGAAATAGACACTAAATTATATTGACATGTTATATTTTAAGATCACACCAATATTTTTGTTTAATAATTTTCTATAAATAATATTGTACAGCTGTTTTTCAAAGCTGTGTTTCTTTTATTTATATTCTCGAATGGACACATTCTTTCCCTTGTCTAACACAGGACTTTTAATAAGCCCCACTTAAGGGACACAAATCCTAAATAAGGCCTCCAGGACACAATTAGGAAGTCTGCTTATAGCTCATCTTATATAAAATTAAGGGACAAAAACTGGGCCTTAGACCAATTGGAAGGTTTTACCTTGGCTTTCTGCTACTTAACCCTTAGTGAACTGCACCAAACAGGAGCCATTTCCCTGCCACTATGGAAATAAAGGAAGTTAGACATCTCACAACACCAAGGTAAGGAAAAACAAAAAAGTTGAGAAATATCTCATTATTTCAAACCAAGTCATTTGTAAATGACTATAAATATAAACCAAAGAATTATTTCTATTTAATATTTTATTCTCACAGAGATTAAAAATGTCAAAAGCTTAAAACAAGGAGAAAGGGGGAAAAGGAACACACTAAACTAAACTAGTCTACCATATAATTAAGCAAAACAGCAAAGTATTATGAGAAAATACATATTATGTACAGTCATCAATTAAGATATTTAAAGGAAGGAGCTTATTTTAACCCACCTCAAAAGGATGCTACAACTGTATTTATATAGCCGATTTAGTTTATACCAATTATATTTCTATAAATGCACAATCATGTGTAGAGATGTGTGTTCTTTCATCTAACATAAAGTAAAAAAGGCAAGTATAATATTTGCACTGTACTACATTTAACTCTGCCTTCAGCTATATATCTTAATGCCAATCCTGACAAGTTACTGTCAATTTTGGCAATTTTGTTGTTTCGGGAACAAAAGTGTCATTGTAGATTGTAAATATCTCTCCTTCCCTTATAGGCCAGATTCAAAGAGTTGATAAGATATCAGAAAATTTTTAACTGAGTTGAAAATATTTGGAAAAGAATTTACATTCATGGTAAAAACCCTGACAGTATTGTGAAAGCTCAGCTTTTAAAGCACATGACAACTGCTGCCTGGCTCGCCTCTTTCTGGTCCTCAGTCTACCTCTCCTTTTCTTCTCTCTTACCGTGGTCTTGTCTGGGAGTCCCTGCATTTCCCCTCCTAGTGTTGTCAAAAGTAGTCTTAATGTCTGAAAGTCTAACTGGCAACAAGTGCCCCTGATAAATCCTGAAGAACCTGGGGACCAAAAATATTTAAATTTGAAGCTGTAGGTTTCATAGTTTTACTAGGTTCAAACTTCAATTTCTAAAAAAAAGGATACTTGAACTAAGGACTCAATCGAATAATTATGCTGAAAATAGGTTCCCACCTATGAGGCAAAGAAACAGTTTTTCCCCCCAAGAAAAATGAGTTTATTGTCTAGTAAGTAAGTCTATCATGAGACAGTCAACACTGGCTTATTACCCACCCTGTCAGCTACTCGTTTCCTTTTGTACCCAACATGCTCCAGGCATAGTTTCCAGCTGTCATCAGTAGATGTAGTTTCAGAAATGGAAACTAAACTTGTCTAATAGAAACTAAATGTAGAGTATCCCCCTACCAATTAGAACTGTATGTAAAATATATTCCATTCTATTAGTTTGGTAAGAGTTAATTCCATGTTAAGTGGCTTCAATTATTCTGCTATTTATTTTCAGAGTTACCCAATAGTCTATTTTTCCCCTTAAAAACAAATAGGAACATAGAATTCTGTTAAAACAAATTCTATTTCCAGACATTTCTATTGTACTTAAGTACTTACTATAAGGTAATAATTCTAGGCTGCTAAACAATTTAAAAGGACAACATACTAACTACTGAGAGTGAATCTGTTAGGGAAAGTCACAGGCTGTGTTGTAGCTGGCTCTTACTAAGTGACCTCCCAGTAAGGCAGCATGTTCTAGAGCTGTGCTGTCTGATGCAGTAGCAACCAGCTACATGTGACTACTTCCATTTAAGTTAATTAACATTAAATACAATTTAAAAGTTCATTTCTTGGCTGTACTTGCCACATTTTAAGCATTAAATTAGCCACACGCAGCTGATGACCAGCATCCTGGACAACACAGATCCAGAGCATCTGCCTCACCTCCATCATCACATCTCTGCTCTAGACAGAGCACAGGGCCTGCCACCTCGCTTAGTCTAGCATCTAGAGGAGTGCGGAATGCATATTTATTTATTTTAATTATTCTTTTTATTGGTTTGGGAGAAAAACAGCACTTTGTTGTTCCACTTACTTATGCATTCATTGGTTGCTTCTTGTATGTGCCCTGACCAGCGATCAAACCCATACCTTGTTGTTTCGGGATGATGCTCCAACCAACTGAGCTAGCCTGCCAGGGTCTAGGAGTACACATTTAAAACATTCCTATTTAAATTATAAATATAAATGAAAGCCTCATAAATCAGATTTAAACAATAGTCTTCTATCACATGCAATTCTAATAGCTGGTTATTAAAGTGTTTTTAAAACTATTGCTTAAATCAAAGCACACAAAAACAAACAGAAATGGGGTTTGTTACAGAATGGAAAAGTCCTCAAATATAGTGGCTAAAGACTGACTTTATTAAAAGGGCCGAAAGGACATCAATTGGGTATTTCAAAAACTGTGATTTGAAACTGCAACTTGATTAGATTAAAAAAACAAACTGCATGGCAAACACAAAAATCTTTTCTGCTTGTGCATTGTCAGGGTCAAGGTCAGCTGCAATTCAGCTGTATATACCTAACTGTAAATGGCCTCAGATTTCCTCAGCAAAGTGCACACAATCTCACAGCAGACTAACTTGTTTCCAACTCTTTCAGATCCTAACCACTTTCACAGCTTGTCAGGGTCAAGGAAAAATTATCCAGTGAAAAGATTCAGTCAAATTATGACAAATTTTTAATGAATTAACATATAGAGTACCAATCTTAAGTATTAATATTTCTAAACATAATCGAATTATCATAGACATGGACATAACCTGCTTTTTAGATTGAGCTGAGACTAGTGTTTTAAAAATTAAGTCAGAAAACTATTCTCCATTTTATAAAGATAAAAAATGGGCCCTTCCAAAGAGGATTTAAATGAGTATCAAAATTCTACCACAGAAATACATCCACCAAACATTTGTCTATGTGGTCAGTAAAATGGTCAACTCACCGTATTAAAAATAGTTTTACAAACCCAGACATTTGGGATATCCTATAATAGATTAAGACAATTCAACAAATAAGGTACTTTAATTAAAATTAGATTCAATTATTTAAGTAATACGAAAATTAGGAAAGATTGTAAATCTAACAAATTTAAAGTTTTAAAGAAATCTCCAAGGAGGCAGTTAATAAATTCTACTTCCCTGAGGTCAACTCTGTCCACTGGGACCACCCTGTAAAGCCTGTGATCATGCTATAAAAACACCTTCTCCACATCAGAAGTTCACAACCTAAGTCTGAGCTGAAAACCCCGAGCATCATCAGGCACTCTTTAAGATTTAACCAACATTATACTTCCTGTGGACAATATTCCTAAAGCTAGGAATGTTTGCACTAGTTTCCTAATAAATAATAAGTAAAAACAGGAATTCACTTAGAATAGAAACAAAATCCAAGTTGTACAGCCCAATTAAAATAAAAGTAATATATTTAAATAGCTTTAGTAACACCACTAAAACATTTAAAATCTCTTCCCAGGATGTTTAGGAAAGACAATTAAAACTGTTAACAGGTCCCTCCCGTCCCTAAGTAGCCCAGGAACTCACCATCTTTAAAATCGCACCATACAGCCGTAGGAGCACTTTCCGAGGCTCGTCACCAACGGTGGCCACAGTGTCGGGTAAGGAGCACAGGAACAGCATGTTACTGAGGCCACCTCTGTGAGAAATAGGAGGATGGTAAATACCTGTATTCTGAAGGTCAACTAAGTCACTCTCCTTGGATAACTACGATGGATGGGAAGTGAGGACCCCACAAGCATTGTTCTAAGTCTTCATTCATTCTCTCACGATACTTGCAACATAAATGACTAACTCCACAATTTTCAGATCAATTCCATGATTCAAAACTAGAGGCCTGGTGCACGAATTTGTGCACCAGTGGGGTCCCTTGGCTCGGCCTGTGGGATCAGGCCAAAACTGGCTCTCTGACATCCCGAGAGGTCCCAGATTGCAATAGGGCACAGGCCAGGCTGAGGGACCCCACAGCCACACAATGGGGGCCAGGGAGAGACGTGGGAGGTTGGCCAGATGGGGAGGGACCACAGGAGGGCTCCAGGACGTGAACGGCCTGTCTTGCCCAGTCCTAATTGGCCAGACTCCAGCGGCAAGCTAACCTTACGATCAGAACGTCTGCCCCTTGGTGGTCAGTGCATGTCATAGCGAGCGGTTGAGCGGCCTTAGTGTATCATTAGCATATTACACTTTGGTTGAACGGACGAAATTAGGCTTTTATTATATAGGATAGGCAAACCCTTCCCAGCCAATGGGGGCTCACTGGTTGAGTGTCAACCTATGAACCAGGAGGTCATGGTTCAATTCCCAGTCAGAGCACATGACCGGGCTATGGGCTAGATTCCCAGTACAGGGGGTAGTCCATTGATGATTTTTCTCTCATCACTGATTTTTCTCTCTCTCCTCTCTCTCCCTTCTTCTCTGGAAAAACAAAAACAAAAAACAACAACGAAAAAAAACAGGTAAATCCCCCAATCTGTCCTTCTAGAGTAGCACTGGGGGAGAGGTTTTTTTTAATCACACGTGTGCCCCACACATGGCACTGGCCTCTGGAGAATGACAAGGACCAGGAGTACTCTCTCCAGCACTGGCAATGGGGGAATCCCAGATGCAGTCCTTCAACCCCACATTCTTTTATGATTCCAAACCTCCATTATAGCAGATTCCATTTCCTCCAGAACTTTCCATTTGAAGTACAGTTCCAAGATCTACCTCTTCCATGCCCATGTCAGTAAAGATTTCTCAACCAATTTTTTAAAAAATATATTTCATTGATTTTTCAGAGAGAGGAAGGGAGAGGGATAGAGAGCCAGAAACATCAATGAGAGAGAAACATCGATCAGCCACCCCCCGCAAACCCCCCACTGGGGATGCGCCCACAACCAAGGCACATGCCCCTGACTGGAACCGAACCCGGGACCCTTCAGTCTGCAGGCCAACGCTCCATCCACTGAGCCAAACCGGTCAGAGCTCTCAACCAATTTTGACTAACAAGCCTTTTCAAAAAACCTGCAACATTAAGTAATTCTTGGAGCATTCAGAGGAAATGCAAGATCTCATTACCCTAACCCTTCCATTTTGACTAGTGAAGACAAGAAACAAGTTACAGAGGTCATTCAAACAGGAAGGAATAGCCTTGAGGACAAATCACCTGCCTGGGTTGGAAATGACTGGGTATAGAAGAAGGCTAGCTAATGCAGAGATTGGAGTTAAACTGCAGAATAAAAAACAGTGTACAATCAGGAATTACAGGCAAGAGGCACCTCACCTCTACTAACTTCAGAGCCACTAAATCCTAACTAGTCAATAAATCTTGAGTAATCTATATATATAAAAGCCTAAGTGACCATTACACAACCGAACAACCAGAACAACCAGTCAACCAGTTGCTATGACGCTCAACACAGGAGCTGCCCCCTGGTGGTCAGTGTGCTCCCACAGCCAAACTCCCACAGCCCCTCCCTCCCCGCCGGGTTGGCCAGCCCCCTAATAGGCCTCGATCACCAGGCAGGCCGAGGGACCCCACCAGTGCACAAATATGTGCACCAGGCTCTAGTTATTACATAAGCACAGCACTCTGCTAGAAGCTAGGGTAATACAAAACCAAAATAGGATCGGGTCCCTGCCCTCAAGAAATGTCCACTCTGATGAAGAAAGCAGACATAAAACTATAAGACAGAGTTCAAAATCAGGGGACAGTGTTTGCAACTATGTGCTTCAGCACATCCTGAGCCTGTCAGATGCATCCATATTGAATGACAGTATATAACCAACTTTTGTACAAAAAGTTACCAGCAAATCAAACCACAGCTTTCTAGAATAACATCCCCAGTCAGGGAGCCACTATTCCTTGTTCCATCCATGAACAGTCCAGCCTAGTCAAAATATGATGCTAAAATACAAAGCTAATCTAAATCACCACATGCCCAATTATGTAGGGATTTGTGAGCATACAATGACAAGCACTGTCAAGGAATACAAAGCAGCCCTCGCCGATTTGGCTCAGTGGATAGAGCACTGGCCTGCAAACTGAAAGGTCTCGGGTTCGATTCCGGTCAAGGGCATATGCCTGGGTTGCAGGCTCAATCCCCAGTGCGGGGCGTGCGGGAGTCAGCCAATCAATGATTCTCTATCATCAATGATGTTTCCATATCTCTCTCCTCCTCCCTTCCTCTCTAAAATCAATAAAAAATAAAAGAAATACAAAGCAAGAGAGAACACTTCAACTTGTGTAGGCAGGAAAGAAAACAGGAATTTTTTTTTGTCTGGAGGTTATTAATGTTGCTACATCGACATCAGTCTAACAACTCTGACAATTCTGCTCCTGTGGCAGATATTCACCTCTCTTTCCTTGCTAGAACCCAGGTTTATTCAACAGGGAAGTGCCCTGTATCAAAACTATACTTAGCAGATACTTTTACAGCTAGGTGGGCCCATGCTACCAAGTGTTGGCAAATAAAACGTAAAAGGCTGTATTTGTGTGACTTCTGGGAAATCAACATAAGACAAGTTCCCACTTTGCCCTCTCTCTTCCCCACCTTCCCCCCTAATAAACAAGAAAATGATGGTGTGTCAATTGCTGAGCTATTGTCTCTGAGCTCCAAACCCATCTGTGTTTTCTGCTATGATGCCGGATTGGGACTGTACCAGTTCCAGATCTCTGTGATCAGATGCTCCCCATTGGGTATGGGCAGTGGGGCCCTGTGGCACTGGAGGGGCCTGGAAGGCAAGAGGGAGAAGGTGTGTTGCTTCCTGTTCCTGTTGGCAATGCAGTAGCAACACGTCAGCCCAGCCATGGCAGCTGTCCCACAACCAGCCCCAGAACACCCTCTCAGAGGTACCAGCTCAGAGGTCTGGGCTCTGGCTCCACAGGGACACTTCTCAAGTTGAGATACCAGCAATACTTAAGCAGTGCCCTCTCCTCGGAGGCTGTATCCTAATTCTGTGGGGCCCTCCTCAGAACTTACAGGTTGTGATAACTCTGACCTCTTCCCTTTTGGTTCTCCAAGGCCCGGAGTGGGGCTGCTTCATACAATTAATTATTTTAATCACTTCTGCCTTTTTGGTTCCCTCCACACCTGTCCATCCAATTCCCTATATTAAGTTCTCTATGTCAAAGTACCTAGTATTATTCCAGTTTTTTTGCAAGAGCCTGACTGGCACATATGGCCAGAGCTTTCGCAGCTCCTTAGATTATGAGAATAAGGGCCACATCCTAGGAATGGCAGAGCAGTTAGCTGGAAGGAGCCTGCATCCCCATCTAGCCTGTGGAGCTTCCAGACTGGCCTGGCCTGGTGACTTCTGGAGCTCTAACACAGAGGAAAATACATTTCTATGTGGTTTAAGCTACTGTTACTCTGGAGTTTTCTGTTATAAGTACTAACTGATAAAGCCTATCACCACATCCACTAACTTGAGTTCTTCCAATCTGGAAACTCCTCCTTCTCTGCTATCTAAAAACTACTTACCATTTAAGACCAAGTTCAAAGTCCAACCTCCACAAGAAGCTTTTGTCATCTTCCCTGCTAGCTCCTTGAAGGCCAGGGTAATGTCTACCTTCAATTCTTAAGGCCCAATGGCCTCCAAATTGTGGATGCTCAATAACTATTTCCCAGAAATGACAACGAACAGCAGCACTCTTGTCCCACTAAGTCTCTCTTCTCCAAACTCCTCCGTTATGTTTGAAAACTGCTTATACTGATCTCTAATGATTGGGAAATTAGTCTTAGCTCCCTAATTAGACTGTAAGCTCCCATCTTCCTGTGGATGGCATCGTGCTAGGAGAAGGACCTCAGGCTTCAGAACCAGGGAGCCTGGCATTCAAATCCCACTTCTGCCACTTATTAGCTGTGCAATCTTGGGCACATCACTACTAGTAAACCTCTCAAATTCACTCCTTTATAAAAGAGTAGGACTTCATTAGTCACTATAAGGGCTCAGAATCATGAAGTATTTGACAAGGATTGACTCGTTTCATCCTCCCAACAATCCTACAGGTGGACACTGGTATCACCCCATTTTATAGATAAGAAAATTGAGGAACACAGCAAGAAAGGAAGTGACTAAGACAGGATTCAAACGCAGGTGTATGGCGCCAGGGTCCTTGCTTTTAACTCTGATGCCACAAGACCCAAGAAACAAAGCTAAACATGGTAACAGGTACAAGTGGACACCAAGAGCCTTACATCAAGACTAAACTGTACAAACCTGCACAAAACAAATGTCTTCATTTCCTACAGCTGCTGTAACATATGACCGAAAACTTGTGGCTTAAAACAGCGAATTTACTATCTTTTAGTTCTGGAGTTCAAATGCCTGAAAAAAGGTCTTCTGGGGGCTAAAATCAAGGTGTCAGCAGAGCTGCACATCAAAAGTATATCCCACATTTCAGGAAACACACACGAAACTAAAAACAGACTCTGAGCTAATCAATTTCAAAGGATAGGGGCCATTAAGGGGAATGCAAAGTTAATGTTTAATAGGCACAGAGGTTCAGTAGTTTGGAAGGACAGAAACATTCTTGAGATGGATAGTGGACACAGTGACACAACAATGTGAGTGTACTTAATGCCACTGACTTGCACACTTAAAATGGTTAAAACTGTAATAAATTTTATTTTGTGTATATTTACCACAATTTTAAAAAAAGGAATGAATCACTGATATGCTATAACATGGATGATCCTTAAAAACATAATGCTTAAGTCACAAAAAATCACATGCACTCCATTCATAAGAACTGTCCAAAACTAGGAAGTCAATAAGACAGAAGTCAGATTAGTGAGTGCTTAGGGCTAGGGAGGCAGGAGGCTAAAGGGGACAGAGTTTCTCTTTGAGATGATGAAAATGTTCTAAAACTGATT